GTAAAATATCGAGTATTCTGATTCACAATTAACAAAAAAACTCAATGAGTCTAATTGGCCGACAAATATTCCATCTTTAAAAAACTAAAACTTCAAAAACATGAAACCGCAGACAAAAAATCAATGTCCAATCTAGAATTTCTTATTTGTATTTGGACGGCAAATCCAAATACAACATATAATTTAATTTTATTTCAAATCCTCCTTGCATGATGGGACGACTTCGCTATGTACTTCAATGAGCGCCTAATTTTAGTAACATTCCCTCTGCCCACCTCCCTCAGCACAATCCGGTAAACTCCCGCCGAATTTGCTCAGAAATTCATAGTAACATCAAAGCGAAACGCATTTCTGTTGAGTAAGCTGTCTCGCCGTCCGAAACAAGCGAAATTATCAGCACACAGCTCCAGTCCCGAGGACCAGGAGCGTGTAGGGAGACTCTTTGCTTAGGACTGGGTTGGGAAAGTCAGGGCAAGGCTGCACCTGAGAATGAAATTTCTGCAACTTTCCACCAAAGCTCGCTACTCCAGAACATGTACGGTGCCCCCCCCCTCCCCTACCGGTTCCCACCCCTACCACCACCTCCGCATCGCTCAAACGTAAATACTGAGTTTGCAAAGTTCCGCCTGAATTCTTTGACGACAAAGCGGAATTGTGCATCATACATAACTCACAGTGTTGGAGATGACTCCGGTCTGGGAGAGACTAAATTTTTTGGAGGAGAAGGTGATAATTTCTCACGCCATAATGCGAGGAAGCGTACTTCACGGAAAAAACGAGTTTAGGGGTGGTACCTGCGTGGAAGGTCTCAGCCCTAACCGGGTAGGTAAAATTGTTTTACCTCATACCCCATTGAGGCGAGCCCGGCGCGAGTGGAGCCCAAACTTACCTGCTTCAGGGTTCAGCTCTACGTGGTAAGGGCTCAACCCTGTCCAGGTAGAGCTGGGCCCTACCCGCGCAGGGCCTGCCCCTGTGGGGGATGAGGTGAAGAAATTATAGGGCCCAGCCCTAATCTCATTTTTTTCCGTGGACTAAAAGGTGGGACACAAACTATTTCGGATATTTTTTTTTCCCTTTATGATACCTCCCATACGAAGAGAAAATTCCCACTGCATCTTTGAGAGCATGTTTTTTTAAATTTTCACTATCGAATTTTTTTTCTTTAGATAAGCGGTACGAGCCAGTCGAGAAGGTCTGAAGTGGATCTTATGTTATATGGTTCGTGTAAAAAAAGCTAGGGGTAATGCCCTAAAATTGTGGTATTACCCCATTTTTTGGATGATATGGGCAATGGGCACTTCCAATTAATCGTGGCAGTACCGCAACAGAATGCGGCAGTTGGATTATGAACCTAATTTTTTGAGGTAATATACCACAATTTTAAGCAACCTAACCAAGTCGGGTCTTAACCCTAACCTTTTTTTTTTTCTGAGTATATTGTCCGCGAAATTGGACGAAATGTTTCGCGTTATAGTCCTTTTTGTTTTTTAACGTCATGGCCGCATTGATTTCTTTTACTTTCAGTGTGTTCTTTGTTATGCGATGTAAAGCTGCCAAAATATTTTAATTCATCCATACAATTTGACGGATATTTACATTAATGTTTTAGTTCTGTTAACACATTGGGAACATGTTACATTCCACTTGCTAATAAGGTAAAATTGTAAATAAATCAACGCCGTAAATCCACGTTAAACGGGGTTTTTTCTGGTTTATCTTTGACCAATAAAATCCGATGACTGGAAAGTTATGTCATGATATCAACAGATGAAGAGAGAATATTGCACCAAGGAGTATAGGTTTTCCTTTTTTTTTTAGTGAATGAAGATAACTTTTCCATGTCATAAAAGTAAAAATTGTGTATATAATCACACGCATGAATGGCGCGAGTCAAAGAATACGCTACAAAAAAAGGCAAAAGGTTTTGAGTGTATTTTTGCTGCATGACGTCACAACGCAGGGTGAGAACCATGATTTTATGACCACTTTACGACTTCGTTATTTCGTTGCTTCATGACCGTTAGAATAATGAACTAAGCCATTTTCATGCTCCGTGTACGTAGCGTACTCTGCTCTTACAAATTACAACTTTCAGGTTCTTGCATTTCTCTCCGTGGGGCTAATACTGAAATCACGCACCAGTAAGTTCTTTTTTTACGGAAAAGAGATATCAGCAAAACGTATGATTCTATTGTGATGCCAGCTATCTTTAATTTCAAATATAAAATGGACATTTCGAAAGATAACTTAGAACTTCAAAAAAACCGCGTACGATAATTGGACTACATTTTGCAATTTGGAACTATAAACTCTGGGTCTTCTGGAAAAACACTTATGTGCATAGGGAAACTAATTGCACATACGTTGTTTTCAAACCCGGCTAGAATTTATAGTTCCAAATTGCAAAATTTAGTCCAATTGGTGTACTTAAACGGGATAGTCAAACCGCAAGGACCTGGGTGTGGGTTGGGTCAAATCAACCTTAAAATTAAGATAAATTTCTCTGTCTGGTAAACGAAAAAATTTCAAGAAACGCATTGAAATTTCGACATTTCCTGATGTATTTATTTTGTTTCTCGGCCCAACCGACCCTCGACTCTTCACTTTTCAGGAAGCATTCCTAACAGAACTCCACTATTGTGCGAACGACCTGTGAAAATCCTGCATCCATCTTCTCTCGGGATTAGAGCCTCGAATGCTTCGGAATCTCACCTCCGAAAGTGTTTCTACTTGAATGTTTAGACAGGTGACAGCCGAGTATATACGCCTGCGTTCAGGACTTCAAGTATCGCGTTCCGAGCTCCAGGGAACACATCGCATGCAACATTCACCGCAAGAAAGAAGTTCGCAGCCTCCCGCAGAATTTGAAAGTCACCACCACTGCCTTGCTAAAGAAGAACGCCGTATGAACATTCCAGAGTTGCCAAATTTCCTTCGATAAAATGTTTATTTCTTAGGAAAGTTATGAATATTTTTCCTTTACATTTTCAGGAACTTCAGGTGAAATTGCGAACTAAATTATCTGAAAAATTGGGAGGAAAATATCCATAAATTTATCAGAAAATTTGCGTTTTATCAAAGGAAGGTTGGCAACGCCTGGAGGTTTATACGGCGTTTTTCCTTAGTACGGCAGACAATGTGTTCAGCACGTTGCCCATATTGCCGAGCTACGGAAAAGAGCAGTAAAGTACACCCTCGGATGAGCTTTGAGATACATAACAGTATGTGCTAATCATGGCTCATACAAAAATGCACATACTGCAGCTCTCTGGCATAAAAACGGCTAGAAAATTGTAAGTGAATGGATATTTGTGAAATAAGTACTTATATACCAACGGTATAAACGCATATCTCATTTGCGGTCTTTCAAAACCACCAATCACATTTTCTTTTATTAGGAGAGAACGAACCGTTACTTGTTTTAAACTTTTGGATGTTGTCATTAACACTATGGTGTTAAAAGAGCATTTTAGGATGTAAATGTAACATCCTAGAATGTTAATGACGACATCTAAGAGTTGTCTCACATTTTTCAACATCTGTGGTGTTACTACAGCACCTTTTTTCCAGTGTATATACGCGTTCCTGCAGTTTCAACGTCGATGAACCCTCTACAGACATATATTCAATAAAGTTTCGAAACACTTAATGAAAGTGGAGTTTTTTTTCTCGTGCGAACTTGAAGTTCACCAAAGATGCCGTTAAAGTTGGCAAGCATCACGATCCTCGTTGAGAAAAGTGAAATACTCTTATGAATATTTTATTCCGCTCACTTTTGCTCGCGTCATAAGCGCTGATGCTGCTCAAAAGTAAACCCACCTCAAGCATCGCCGATATCCGATACCATTTTCATCCTTCTAAATTATTTTCAATTTTGTCTCGGCGAGCTGCGGGCGTCATTGAATATGAGAACATGCTGAAACAACTGAAGCCGACCGTGGGCTTTGGAGACAACGAACGGGTTCGATGAGAAGTATTTAGTAAACTTGGCGAAAAAAAAAAAAAAAAAAAAAAAAAAAAACAAGCAAATTAATAAGCAAGTTAATAAGTAACTAAGTAAATAAGCAAGTTGTTAGTAATTGATTAATAGTAAGTTAGTTAACACCAAAAGACTGCATGCCCCCCTCCACCTTAATGCGGTGCAACTCTTAGAGGCAGGAGGAAACCGGTTTCAAAATTTCGAAGCTCCACCAAAAAGATAATTTTAGGCCTTCTCTGCTGGAAAAAGAAGGTCCAAAAAAGGTGTGCAGAGGCTCTGCGGCATTTTTGAAGCAATTTTACCAAAACGGCCTCTTTGGACCCTCTTGACTAAAGACTAGAGGGCGATAGCCCCTAAGTCCATGTCTCTGCCTCGAGGACACTTTTTGGATCGTATTAAAAAAATTCAGAAGAACACGCTGATCTGTGGTTATCACTATATACTAGAATATTAGCGTTACATTAATCACAAAAAAGTTTCCCGATAAAACTGTAGGAGGTACCATGACAAAAAATTAACATGTAAATAGTTGAATTGGGAAAATTCACAATTTTATAATGTACAGTGGAAATCGGATACAACGACCTTCTAGGGACCGGCCAAAGGTCGTTTTATCCGACTATCACTGTGACCGATGCTCAAGTTAATCGAATAAATGGAATTTCAGCTACGGGACTAACCAGATCGCAGGTCGTTTTAACCTATATTTCGTTATAAGCGATGTCGTATCATCTAATTTCGACTGCATCATTAAAAATCTTAATTTCAAAATTTAATAAATAGCGCATTCATGCAACCTTATTACCTTATTACCTGCCAATAGTCGTTAAAAGCCTGTGAAACGATGAGTATGTACCTAGAACGAGCTATGACAAGACATGGAAAAATTGGAGAGCTGGAGAGCTTATAAAATTATGATTATGATGACGATGATGATGATGATAATGATGATGATGTTGTTGATGATGATGATGATGATGATGATCAAAATTAATACATTTTAAAACGTTTTGATACTTACAGAAAATGTCATCATAAGTAGGCCGACTGATATCTTATCCGAGGAAACTGTTATGGGTTTTGAAGTTTTTATCGGTGGTTTTTAACTGCAGCGTTGACGAAACCGATATGATCCAAAGTTATGAAAAAAGGTTATGCAACGTTTCTTACAAACATTCACAATATTTCGTTATTTTGTGAGCACTGTGCAATATCTGAAAAATCCACAGTAAAACTTAACGAAGCTCAAAAATCTTACGGTGACTGATTTTTTCGGATCGCTGATATATGCTTCAAAATTAATTACGACTATGCCCGAGTTACACACGCTTTGAGATTTTTTTTATTCATTAGAACACTTGAGTTAAGTAAAAGTTTAATGCCGCGGATAGATAAAGGTTAGTAGTTGACGGGGAAAACGTGACATTTTTTTAACTAGAGAATTTCCTATATTATTTACCTTTAATTTTTTTTCCAATGCTTGTGCGAGAAAAAATAATTCAGATACGTGACCAGTACTTCTGGAAGAAAACCCCCAAAAATCGCCGCTTAAAGATTCCAAACTCTATGAATACTTCGATTGCTATTATCCTGTCACTGGATTAGCAGAATTATCATTCGGACACTAACCATATCTATCTAAAACTGATATACACATTAGGATTTTCACGGTCCCAACAGTTAGTGCTCATGAATAACTGACCTATATCGTGGTCAAACAAAAAAATTAGGTACCTACTTTTTTTAAACGCATAAATAATGCCGAGATAAACAACTTAATTAATAAGAATTATATTCTTTTAAACAGTTGTAACATTAATAGAGATTATAATAATAAAACTCGAACAAATTCAATTTAGATACCTCCAAAATGACGAACTATTTTATTAAGTATGCAAACGATCCTTATAAAATCCGTGCATAGAGAAAGAATCGGTTAATTTCCTAACAGGATCAAAAAACTCTGCAAGTAATCCATGAGGGATAGCTGCGTCAAATAGCTCCTATTAGCAACTAACCTAACTAACTCCCTCCCTTCAAAATAACAGAACTCTCACAGTATCTCGCGTCAAATTCCAATTTTACCGTCGGTATGATACTACCAATGGAAACTAAAACATTTACGACGAAAATTCACAAGACTCAATTGTCCGTCGGAAACTTCCTCAAACTAGGTGCATTTCATACACAACGCGACAAAGTCCATAATTGAAATACCGACCTCTGCTCAAAATAACTCCAAAAAAAAAAAACTCGCTGTCATCAAGGATGTACCATCGAGTTCTCGAAAAATTCGCGAGCTCAGCGAAGCGAAGCGAAACGAAATCGCGAGAAGCGGTCCACGTGGCGGGAGAGCGCGTGGCGAGCGAGCAGCGGCCCGAGTCAAACTGACGCCGCGGCGGGTAGGCAAAGCGCGGGACAGCGACGCCGCGGTGGGTAGGCAAAGAGCGGGACAGCGACGCGACGCGGGGCAAGGCAACTTACATCGATTTTAATGCGAGCAGGTGGCATTCTCGCCACGCTTCCACGGACCGCCGCTCCGGCCCGACGCAGGGATTTTCGTAGAAGCTTAAGGGACGTAAGACACCTGAGTGGGGCGCTCGGGAGCGGTCAGTCGCGCGTGTCCCGCTGAGTTGAAAAAATGAATCCCTTTGAGGAAAATATTCGTCCCCGAATGTTCCGTCTTGAGCTGAGGTGTTTAACTGCGAATAGCTCCCTCGCGGAGGAAAAACCTTCGTACGTGAGAACTAAGGTTCAGATCATAAGGATCCCAGAGGTTTTTGGATTTTTTTTTTAATTTTTTTTTTATTTTTTAAAGAGTTTATTCATTGTAACCCTCCTAGGAGGAAATATATAAAATTATCTCAATGTATGTACATATGGGTATATAAAAGTAATAGCTGGATAATTACTTATTTCCATAATGCATACGTTTTCGGATTGTGCGTCCGAAAACTTCACGTTCAGCTGTCGAATATTCGAGTCATGCAGCTGAAGTACTTTGGTACTGCGGTTGAGTCCCAAAAATTTCCAACCGAAGTACTTCAAATGTGTGACCCGAAGTTCACCAGCTGGGCCTCAAGATTTCAGATGCACGATCCGAAAACCTCAGGAATCCATACGACCTGAACTTTGGGTTCCATATGAAGGAAGTTTTCGTTCTGTGTTCAGATGATGATCAGGTAAATATAACACCTAAGAGAGGTATGATCTTAATACTATTTTTAGGTAACCTTTCTCGAGATATACACGGAGAAAAGAAATTGAATTACAAGGATCGAACTTTGATTTACAAAGAACACCAAAGTTTTCGGCCCAGGTAGCCGAGAACTTTGATCGTTGAATCAGCAGTCGGCTTAAATAACCGAGATATTCAGTAAAAAATTTGAATCATGGAGTGCTGGTTACCTGAGCCGAGGTCTTGAACCAAGTTAGCGCAACCGAAAATGTGGGTGTTCTATACGAACTGAATATATTTCCTTGTGCTCTATAATGTCATTGGTTTTTCTGTCATCACTCGAATTAGCCAAAAATAATAATGCTGGTTGACTGAAGCTGTTTAGTTTTATCACCTCACACTAGAGAAAAAAAACGCATTAGATCTCGAGTCCAGGCTCTTAAAAACATCGACAAGATAAAGTACTCTTGATTCAATCAGATCTAAGCTTAAATCAAGAACCAAGCCTCTTCATTTGAGAGGATTTCCTTTTCATTTAAGCTTAAATCTGATTGAATCAAGATTCCTTTTTCTTGTCAATGTTTTCAAGAGTCTGGACTCTTGATCCAATGTGTTTTTTTTTTCCAGTGCACCTCAGTACACATCCTTCACAGAAATTTAATTTACAAACTGGACATTTTGATGAACTGATTTTTTCTAAATGGCTCTGCTACCATGGAAGCCTCAAACGTCATCAACCGATGAACAAAGCCCTCATATTGAGAACAAAAAATCGTACCTTAAAGAAAGATAAAATAATCACAGCTTTTTTACGTCTGGGACTTGCCTACCCCATACCCGCAATACCGTTCTCTCAGTAGGATAAAGAGAGGGAGAGAGAGAGAGAGCAGCTTGATTCGGCGACAGAACTCGGAGCGATCGGTGGACGACAGCGACTCCGTTAATTTATTCAACAGATTTACTCGGGCCCTGAATACATTTCGGGACATGTGTAGCACTGACACTGGTGCGTCCCGCGACTTTATGAATATTGTAATATGGAGGGTTGCGGCCGTTCCTCCTTTTTCCCTGCCGATGCTAATCAAGCGGCTCAAAGATTTCAGAGTGAATGATTTAGACCTGAAATCTGAAGGGGGAGGTAGAAACAATGGGCACGTCGCAAACTCCAGCTAGAGCACAGGGAGGAGTTATTAAAGAGCCCAGAAAGTTCTATTGATCGAAGCTGTGGAAATAGTGTGTACACATTTAGAATTGGGCGCATTCCATTCGAGTGATACTTCCAGCTATGCATAAGAGTTAGTTTAATTGCGTGACCTAACTGAACCTAACCTAAACACATTCCGCATTGGGCGCCTTCCATTTGAGTGATACTTCCAGCTTTGCCGGAGAGTTAGTTTAGTTGTGTGACCTAACTGAACCCAACCTAACTCGTTACGATCGGTTCCTGAGCCTCGTGACCGATTAGACTAAACATACTCGGCCATATTCAATTACTGCAATGTTGAATTTTGCTCCAACGCAACGTTTTGGAATTACTTCTTATGTATTATTTTTTTTACAATGATACTTATGAAATGGGCCTGTTGCAAACTTTTTCTAGAGCAAAAATAAGAGTTATTTCTCATAGAAAATGGCTCAAAAAGCAAGATGAGCACATCGGGATGATCTAAACACTTTGCGTAAAAAAATGGACTCATAACACACGAGAAACGGCTTTATTGATAAATGCTGATCGAGCAAGCAGCGATAAAGGTTCAATAATCAACCCATCGGTTAAAAAGACAAAAGCGCAATAGAAATCAGGGCTTCATGTGAATCTCCGACAAGAGCACCTCTCTACACTGCCGTGCTAAGGAAAAACGTCGTATGAAAATTCGAGAGTTACCAAATGTCTCGAGATGAAATATGTATTTTTGAGGAAAGTTATGCTAATTTTTCCTTGAAATTTTCAGATACTTCAGATGAAATGGGGAGCAAAATTCTCTGAAAATTTAAAAACAAATTATGACAATTTTCCCCTGTAAATTCGTTTTTTATTGAAGGAAATATAGCACGTCTGAACTAGCAGCAGAACCTCGTCTCTCCGCGCTCTTTTCACGACGGAAAGCTTGTCCAGTGTACTACCGTGCCAAGGAAAAACGCCTTATGAACCTGTAGGCGTTGCCAAATTTCCTTTGGTAAATTAACGAATTATCTGGAAAATTTGTAAATATTTGTCCTCCAATTTTTCAGATAATTTCGTTTCGGAATTTCACCTAAAGTTCCTGAAAATTTCAAGGAAAAATATTCATAACTTTCTTGAAAAAACAATTTTCTGAGAGGAAGTTTGGCAACTCTTAAATGATCATACGGCGTTTTTCCTTAGCACGGCAGCGCACAGATCCTACATGTCTACACATCTGTGCCACAAAAAACCGCTTTCCTCATCTGCAATTTCCCTAGGACTTAAGCGGTTCATGATTAGCGGGCAGCGAATGGTATTTATCGGTAAATCCTTAGCGCAGCATCCACTTCTGTGAAGGAATTACAGGATTATAGGGAATGCGCGCGATATATCACCCGTTCGCGTTATGCACAGATCAAAAAAGTAAGTAATCCGCTTTGGCCTCGTTCACGAATGGAAACTAAAACCTCATATGTCACTTCCGTTATGAGTCCTCATACAAACCCAACCTATGGACTTAGGGGCTCATCTAAAAAGGGACTTGCTTGGTTTTAAAACAAGAAATTCAACGGCGCAAAATCGAAAATAACGTCAGCTCGCGTTTTCCTTTGTTTCACTCTCGGCAGATTTTAAGCCGCGTTTCTTCGCGCGTTTCGCCGTTTTTTCGTCGCAAAGGCGTGATTCCATTTCTTTTATGAGCTTTGTAAAGCAAGGAGTTGTATGGATAATAGGGTTCATTTCATGGTGTCCTAACGTCTATACGTCGGTGCGGGGACGATTTTTTCGCGGGCCGATCACGGCGCTGACGCGGTTTCTGAAATTCAATCACGACCGTTCGCGATTCGAGTAGTCCGATATCAGAGAAGAGCGCAAAAAATATAAAACAAAGAAATTAAAATCGTAAATCTACGACGGCAGTCGAATTATATTATACGAAATCATGACTGAAACCTTAAGTGTGTGGTGTGTTAGAGCTTGCAGGATTAATACCTGAGCAAAAAAATTAGCATTAGCGATGCAGATTCGTCGAAATGAGGATTGTCTACTGCCGTTTGAAAGTGGTACCGCTCTTACAATATTGAAAACAGAGCTTGATAAGTGACTGATAGCTTCAAATTATACGGTTTAGAGCGGAAGCTTATCAGAATTTGAGTCAAATCACCGGAATATTCAGATCGGGATCACCGAGTCCTCACGGTGCTGGAAACTAAGGATTTTAGTGCTTTTCAGAGGAGCGCATTGTTTAAAAACGATTTTTTGAGTGAAGTCTCTAGAA